CTTTTTCCATGTTAATGATATGCAAACACAAACACAAAGCCGTGAAGTCAAAAACAAAATAGCAAAAATACAACAATAATAACGGCACACAGGAAATACGCGCCATATACAACAGCAGAAAAAAGGGCTGCCACAGCGAGAGACAGGGAGATAGATAGCGGATGAGAGGAAACGACAGAAATCAACACAAAATTTTGCGCGCGATTTGCGTCAATGAGAGCGACATACCAATTGAAGAGTGGAAGAGTGGGAGAAAGGGAGAGAGAGCGTGAGGGTGAGAGGCGTAGGGGTGTCGCTGCGTGTGTGCTATTCTTTTTTGCAATTAAAACAAAAATAAACTCAAGGCGCAGTAAACAAATCAAGTGTAAATTATATAAAAGTGGAATCAGCCGAATTCAAGAACAAAGAAAATTGCAATTAATAAATTAACCCAAAAATACGCACACACATGCTGACTGCGGCGGAGAGAGCAGAGGAAACAGCTACTAAAATCCGCAGTGGGACAACGAAAATAAAAATTGTAAAACCCAATAAAGCAGTAAAACATACGGCACATGCACAAGCATACATACAAACAAGCATACATTTAAACACACGCACGAACGCACACATATTGCAAGAGCTAGAGGGAGAAGCGGCGTGAGAGGAAAAGCCGTCGAACAGAGATACAACTTGTCGCAAGCAAGCCGCAAAATGAAACAAGCCCAAGTCGAACATATGAAACAGCAACAACAAAAACATCACCAACAACAACGACAATGAAAAGCGGCAACAACGCATGATTATTGACATTGCGTTACCCTTCTTGCAGGCAGCGACGGATGGCGGCGGTGGCGTCGTCGTCGTCGTCGACGACGGCAGCAGTTCAATCTGCCTGTTTGGTTTGTCTACGCTCGGGTCTTGAAAACTGCCGGCACGGCCAGGTCTGGGCACTGACTGCCTCCGCCTTTGCCTCTGTCGAGGCTGTGTGTTGTTTACCTCAGCAGAAACAGAAATTCAAGCAAAGCAGAACGAGAGCCAACCACAACAACAAACAGCGACAGCAACAGCTACGGCAGCAGCAGCCCTCAACTTCGCTGCCAGCGTCGCTGCTTGTGCCGCTGGCGTCGCTGCTGTTGGAGCTACACGAAACTCCACCACGTCGCGACGTCGTTTGTCGCTGTCTTCTTTTCTTCAACTTTGTCTGCTGCCTACCAATACTGACTCACACTCACTTTTACACACATACATATTTACATTTTATGCTCGTTTGCTGTTGTTGTTTTGCCGCCTGCACACACATTTTTATACTGTAGCCCGCTTGCTCTCTTACAGCGCTGTCTCTTTTACTCTGTTGTAATCGCGCCCTCGCATTTTGACTGCTGCCTGCTGCGGGTGCCGCAAATGTTTTTGCTTTTGGTTTATTTGCGGCAACCCTTTGGGTTTTGTTGCAATTGCCTTTGCTTTTATGTTGTCTTGACATGTAAAAATTTACTAATTGGATTTTGTTTTATGCACATGTCAGACAACATGTGTAATTGATCCACAAACGCGCTCTCTGACTCTCTCGCTCGCGCTTTCGCTCTCGCTCTCTTAAGCAATTGCTCTTTGACTCGTTAACTGACATTTGCAACGTGATCTTTTTTACACGAATGAACGAATGTAAGTGTGTGTGTGGTCGTACACACGTTATTACTGAGCTTTCTGTAATTAGCTCGTGTATGTGCTTAAAATATTTCCATCGTTGCATTTTGCACTGATTATCTGTGGGGATTTTTAATTGAACGGAGATTAAAGGGCAATGCAAACAGCAAATGTTCAGTTCGTACGTATGCGTACGTCGGAGACGTTGACATTTGCAAAATGCATTAAAAAGTCGCCGATGATAACATATTGACATTAACAGCAACGACAACAATGGCGACTGCGACGTCGTCTATCTGCTGCACTTACGTTTTCGGCGTCAATGAGCGCGAAGGTGAGTGTAAGCAACTGAAACAACAGCAATAACTGAGCAACTGCTTATTAAATGCAAGACGAAACAGAGCCAAATGAGCATAGCAACACACGCACACATACGAATGAACGTAAATACAAACGCGCGTTAATAATTTAAACGGGAGTGCGAGCGAGATAGCTGCAACTGGTATAGGTGTGTAATACATAAGAATGAATTCAGCTGATGAGTTCGTCGTCAGAAATTTGTATTTATTAGCCACACTAACTCAAACAACTAAAATTACTAAAATTTTAGACGTGACGTCATCCGCATTCGCTACCTGTTATCATTTACAGCTGACTAAAATAATAAAAAAAAATAGAAATACCCACAATATTGACAATATAAAAGCCATTTTATCGCTATGCCAAAAAAAGAAACGCCTTCCCGGAAATCCATAAATACAAACAAAAACATAAACAGCCCGTTGCACAGCACGTAAAAACGAGTAAAAGATGAACTGAGTACGCAATAGACGCGTCTGGTTACCTTTAAACGCACTTTAACTCTGTTCGTCCAAACTCTCTGGGACTCAGACTCTCTCACACTATCTTCCGCTCGCTCAATGTCACGAACACGACACATGCCAATAATGCTAATGAGCGCAAATGCGTAAACGAGCCAAAAACAAAACTTTGTATAGTGGGAGTGGAAAGCAGCAGGCGGCTTTTGCTGAGCATCTGCCTCCCTTCCGATCAGCCTTGTGTGTGTAGACGTGTGTGTGAGTATGAGTATTTTTTTCGCTGTCCGCATTCGCACACAAATCATTACATTATCCTGCACACTCAAAAACTGTGGCCACACTTGCTCGCTCTCTCTCTCTCTCTCTTTCTCTCGCTCTGCCTGCCTGGCTCTTCATCAGGTTTACTGTGCACGTTCTTAAAATGATTTTGGCGAGGAGCAGCAAAAAACAAAAACAACAGCAGCAACTGCAAAGAAAAGCAGAAGTAGCAGATGAAGAGCCTCGACCATAACCGCAACTTGGCCAATTTTGGCAAAAACAAGTGACAAACAGACTAAAAGGAGAACGCAATGGGAACGGGCGAGACTGGACCGGACCGGAACGTTAAACAAGACAACGACAATAGCAGCAGCAACAACAACAACAAGAACTAGTGATGGGCGCTTAGTGGTTCAGTAGAAACGGGCCAATGTACTATTTATGTGAGTGAGTGTGAGTGTGTGTGCACATTTTGGGCCAATAAGTCACACAAACAGTGCAACAAACAACAAACAAACAAAACTGGCTACTGCAATTGGCAACAGCCGGATGCCTTTTGCCAACACTTTGGCAAACGATCAACGGTCACAAGCAGATGGAGTTGAAGAAGATGATGAAGAAGGGAAAGGAGAAGAGTTCGCTTATGGGCAATGCGTATGCGAATGTAACATTCATCACTCACACACACATACACTGACGGACACAGATGCAAGCATTCTTGTTGCCATATTTATGCGCTGCAGCATTGCAGACGCTTTTAATGTCTTTTTGCAGCATCTTCCACTCTTCATTATCGTCTCATCAATATAGAAAACAAAAACAACAACAACTACAACAGCAGCAACGATTGCAATGCGAATTACAAGCGTTGCCAGACAGCCAAAGTTTTCATTGTTACAACAGCTCAGACAAACACACACACACACATACACACATATACGATAAATAGCTAGATATAAGTAAATTCAAAGATATGTATGCATGTATGTGAATAAATTTGTATATTGATTAGTTTGCGTCAGAGCTCAGACAGAATTCTCTTCTATTTTGCATTTTAAGTGGCAGATTCTAACAGTGGGTGAGCGAGGAAGACAGAGGAGCGAGGCAGCAGCAATGAGCAAACCTCAAGCCGCAAAACAACAAAGTGCAAAGGAGTAAAACTAGGTGTGGAGGAGGAGATGGAGTGGAGGGCAAAGACAGCAGCAAATGCAGGTGCGAAATAGGCGGTCAGATTGAGGTTAAAGCAGTTCATAATCTCAAGAAATTGAAATTCAATCTCGCCTCTAGGCTGGAAAATTTCAAAACAATCAAATGGAAAAACAAGTAAAGTAATCAACATGCAGATAAGTCGACTCCAATAATACCCCATACAATAAAATAAAATATATTTAAATATTAAATACATTAGAAAAATATGTTTACAAATTGAAACTTAAATATTAAAAAAAAGCTAATCGCTTGAACTAAGACTCTTCTTTCAATTTTATATTAAAACGAATACATTTATATTTAGAAATTTTAATTTCTCTGAAGTTATTTTGGTTCTACAATATCTACACAGGACCTATTTAGTATTTACATATTGAAAGACTCTGCGAAGCGTGGAATTCTAGGAAATATAATTCGGATTCCGAGAACTGAACCGAACTGAGCTGAATATCTGATTTAGGCCAGGAAAATATTAAACGTTTAACATAAATGAATTAGTTTCAATTTAAAATAAATATATATACATATTTTACATTTTATATATGTATTTTATATCATCGACAATTGTTTTACAAATTCCATTGCAGTTGCGTTAATTAAAATTTACTTATTCCTAATTACTGCAAATAATAATTGAAATTCTATTAATTGCAATGCAAATATTGTCATTTGTTAACTATTAGATGCAATTGCTGTACGTGAAATATATTTATATTCATTTTTATTGTTTACTTTATTTTTATAGTTAAATACATAAAGAATAATCTGAAAACTATATATCGAAAATCCATTAAAAAAAGATTATTAATATATATATTAGGGTTTAAAAGTTCCGGCTATAAAAAGATCATTATTTAATGCACTACATTATAATTATAACGGTTTCTATGGCAACTTTCTTATATTCATGTATGTTCCATTTCTACAATATTCCATTCTTACTTTATGCCTTCATTAATTCACAGTATTGTGTGTCTTTCGTTCCGTCAAGGTCTTTCGCCTATTGTGAACTATTTTCACTTGATTCCTATTAATTGCCTGGCGATCTTCTCTTTGCTGTTCCACTTCCGCCTAATGTCAATTGCCACTTACCTCATCAGCTGCTTGGGTGGCGGCCACCAGCAGAACTAGCAGCATCGCTGACACCAGCATCCATTTACCGTTGCTGGCCATTGGCGACGGCGACGTCAGTGTCGGCTGCACAGTTTTCAGCTTTGATTTCATTTTAGTTGCGTGGGTGTTTTCTTGTTTTTGTTGTTGTCGATGCAGCAGCAGCAATTGCCAAGAAATTGATTCCAGATTTGTTTATAGAACGGCGATTGGCAGTATAAAGAGCTTAGCAAAAAGGCGATTGCTTAGATTGAATTGCGCTTGTTCAAATTCTTAAGAAATTTGTGTTATTCTTTTCTTCTTCTTGTTGTATATTTTGTAAATGCAATTTAAAAACTGGTACACGCTGAACAATGAAATGAAATAAAAACAAAACCCGTTAGATACTTTTGATTTATGCTTTCATATAAAACACTCGCACTGAAACATTTTGGCAATGGAACGACGAGCAATCGCGATTTATCAATTGAAACTCAAATAGAACGCGTACAAAAACAATTCAATTGCGCGCCGTCTGCGTGTGTGTGTGATAGAGAAAGAGCTAGATAGTAAGCGAAAAAGACTATCATAAATAACACATTTATTCATTTAATTTTCGATAATTAACAGCAATTTTTAGTGCGCGCGCGGCTAAATCAAAGCAACTAGCGCCAGCGGAGAGGCGGCAGCGGTGGGAGGAGTAAAGGAGAATAAACAACAAGATTACTGCACGAAGCAGCAGCACACAGAGAGGCGCAACAAAACAAAAATGATAAAATGAGACAGCGGAGCGACAAGAGCGCAACCAAAAAGGTGCCAGCAGAAGAAGAAGCAGCAGCGAATGGCTGCCTCTAAGCGAGACTGTGTGTGTGTGTGTGCGTGTGTTTGTTGGTGTAACACAGTCTCATAGCTATGTACGTGCATCTGTGTGGGCAGTAAACTGTAGGTGAGCGCAGAACTCTATTACAATAGCAGCTAGCGCTTAAATACAACCATTTCAAATGCTTTTGCATTTAAATGTTTGAATTGAAAACGATTTTAACTGCAATTTGTTTGGCATAGAGGGCGCTTTAACTTGATTTTCCGCCCACCACACTCACACACACCACTACCTACACGCACAGACAACTCACTCAAACACACACATTCAACCACGCTCGTCGCGTACACACAAACACACACACACAGGCAGAGAGAGACACAGTTCGTAGCGGTGGCGGCTTCTTTATGTTTTTCTTCTTTTACTTTTTGCTGCTTGTTTGCGTTTTGCTTCACTACACGAAATTATTTATTTTGCGTTTTTTAAATATATTAAACGGTTCGCGTAGAATATCACCTTATTTATTTAATTGCACATTGTGTGCCGCATTATTTAATATAATTACAACAAATTCGTTGTAGTAAATTGTTAAATTTCTTTACACTTGAACTGAGAACGCGCAATACTCCCGCGTCCGACACCTTCGACGGTTTTTTTTCGACTAATGTTAACGGCCTATGTTAACTAACAGAGTACACAGCGGTTAGGCTGACCATGCGCGCAAATTTTGGTATTTTTTAAATGCACATAATAATACCACGAAATGTACACCATTTAGGCTTTTCAACGTAGGCCCCTATCAGTCCTTGGTATTTATGCAGTAGCTTCATACAGTCACACTGCGCATCCATTTCGAACATATTTTGCAAGAAAAATTAAACAAAAAGAAGTGGGTAAACAAGGTAATTCCGTTAATTTTCGGCCGAAAATGGATGTACAGTATAAACGCTGATAAGACAATTGATTGACAGACAACAGGCTTCGCATCCAATAGCGCTGTGAATCATAATCTGCTTTGTTGTCTTGTTTTGCGTCTCGTTTGACGAACTTTCATTCGTTCCCCCTCAGCAAATCCCCTCCCCCATTCCGCATTTTCCTCTTTCGTACGTTCGAACTGTGAAAAATTTTTCAGCCAAAATTCAAGCTGCTCTCAGCTGCCTATTACGTCTTTCGTTGCAGGCTTAAATGCTAGCCGATTAGTTACTATGGATCTGGTGGACATCGATCAGGTCCTGGACAATCTGGAAGCCGAGCTTAAAGGTGCGAAAATAAATGTTGTGCATAACGGCGAATGTTTCTTAACTGTACATTTTTGCAGCGGACGAACAATTGAGCCGCAATGCAACGAGCGCTGCTGCTGCTGCAGCTACTGCAACTGTAAGTGTGGGCGGTGAGTCACGCCCATTGGGTGATGGCAGCGCGGGCGCAGCCAAAAACTTTGTGGGCGTCTCTCAGGTGTTCAATAGCCTCAATGACTACCGAAACAACGTTCAATCGCTGGCAACCGGGATGCAGGCGCATGAGAGCTATAATTGGGAGACGGAGGCAGCACAGCAGCGGGAGGAGCAAGAGCCCGAGCAGCTGGATGATGAGGTAGAAGAACAGGAGGTGGAGGAGGATGACGAGGAAGAGGAGCTGGCCAGGCACGAGGACATAAACAAGTTTAGCGAGGCGAAGTCAAAGGATGGAAATGTCTCCTCCACCGAATCGCTCACAACCTCGTCCTGCTCCACCTTCTCCTCGGGCCCATCTCCCGGCAATGTGAGCAACTCGGAGGAGCAAGAAGAGCTCAGCACGCCGCCTCAAAGCGATAAGCCAAGTGCACTAGAGCTGCCGCCCAAAGCCAACAGCGAACTGGATCAGCAGCTGGAACAACAAGTGGCTCCGGCTGTTGTGGAGGATTTGGCCACAGGCCTCTCATCCATATCCATAACGAATACTAATACCACAGAATCGCAGTCGATCTTGCCCTGTGAAGTGACAGCCTCGTCGGCTCTGGGCAAAGTGCTCAACGAGTTATCCGAGGAAACGAGCACGGATCTGGACACCCAGAGTCAGGCGCGTGGCGCAGGTGGCAACGTGCACATTTTGCCTGTGGTAAGTGAAGAAAACATGGGCAAGTTTCCAATTTTAAAGCAAACTTATTCAGATGAACCAGACAAATCCAGCACAAGAGCAGCAAACGAAGCAGCAGGCGGAACAGGAGCTGCAGCAGCAATTGGAGCAGGCGCCCAAACGTAGTCAGCCGCTGACCTTTTGCTCCACCATGGATGAGATCTCAGACACGGAGCTGGATAGCATGCTGCAAGAGGTAGAGGCGGACATTGAGGAGGAGACTGAGGCAGCTGCTGCCTCCACGTCCTCGTCTGACTCCTGTCTGCGCCAGCCACACGGAATGATAGACGATGATGACGATGGAAGCGCCTCCATATCGCCAGCAACTGAAGAGGAATCGGTGCGCATACTCTCCGAGCAGGAGACCAACTCGGCGGATCAAATGAATGTGGACAACTTCTCACAGGCATCCACAGTAGAATTCGCCGAGCTGCGGGCAAACGAGGCAACGCCAGTAGTTGCGACGGCAGCCGAGGAGCTAGCCTCATCCTTCAGTAGCACAGCAAGCGATACGGACTCGCTGTCCGGGCGCAAACTGGAAGATGACGTAATCGATGAGGAGGAGGATAGCATAGCTACAGATGCGCTAGAAACGCAAGAGCAACGACCACAACGTCCACAAACTTTAGATCTAAACGGAGGTCAGCAGGCAAATGCTGGGCAGACCCCGCCACCAGGTGGCGAGCAAACAGCTGATCAAGCGGAGGCGCAGGCCGAGGATGCAGCAGCCGCAGCAACGGCAACAGCAGTAGCCGCAGAAGGGGAAGAAGATGACGATAGTCCCATTTATGAGGCCGTAGGCTATAGTGATCCGCATGCCAATCTGGGCAAGGTGCCACCCATCTGGGTGCCCGACAATATGGCCGGCCAGTGCATGCAGTGCCAGCAGAAGTTCACGATGATCAAGAGGCGGCACCATTGCCGTGCCTGTGGCAAGGTGCTCTGCTCCGTCTGCTGTTCGCAGCGCTTTCACCTGCAGTTCGCCAATGAGCCAGAGTCGCGGGTCTGTGTGCAATGCTTCATGATCCTCACCGAGCGGCAGGCCAATGGCGGCGTTTCGGACAGCTATGCGGGTGCACCGCCCTCGGCGCTGCCGCCCACGCCCATGCGTTCGCCCAATCCCAATAATCCCATGGAGTATTGCTCAACGATACCGCCGCATCGTCAGGTGGCTGCCGACGGTGCTCCGCCGCCCAGCGTAATTGTGCCCGTGGGCGTGCTAAAGAAGACAGATGGAAGCTCATCGAACTCCTCCAGCTCGGATGGCAAAAAGGGGCGCAAGCGCAAGAGCGTCATGTTCAGCGATGGCATTGCGCCGGGCAGCGAGCTGGCCAGCACCATGGAGCAGCAGTGGGGCGAGGCCAAGCAGGCGCGTCGCGGCCTGCAGCGCAGCAACAGCGGCGCCGGCACAGCAGCCAGCAACAATCAAAAGCCGCCCACGCCTGGCGCCAGCAGCAGCAATAGCAGTGGCAACGGCGGCAGCAGTATTGACAATAGCACCACCATGGGCCTGGTGGCGCAGCTATTCCGTGGCTCCATACCGCCCAGCGCAGCGGCAGCAACGCTAACAGCGGCAGCAGCGGGCAGCCAAACCTCAAGTGGTAAGACTAGAAATTATGCTTGAATGACACTGGTTGAATTATCGATCCATTCAAGTCATGCCTTGGCCTCTAGCCATTAGGCAATCAATTAGCAATCAATTATTAACCCAATCTCTGACGTCTTTCGTACAGCTGGTCGCAATACAGCGCAAACCTCGCCGCGTCGCAAGGTCGAGCCGCAGCGTTCACGCAAACTGCCGCCAAGCGATGCGCAGGGCTGCTTCATACCCTACGAGGAGAACGCGCTGCCACCCATTTGCATCAGCAGCAACGGCAGCAGCAGCAACTGTGATGTGGAATACAAAGAGGTGCGCAACGATGCGGATCTCCTGGAGCGTCTGCAGCGTGAGACGCTCAAGTTCATTGTGAAGAACAATTTCTATGTGCTGGTCAAGGTGGTCAACAGTGAGTAATCAGGCCTAAGCTATTGCTGACTATTGCTAATCCTTTGTCCATTCTTGTAGTGAGCTGCTGCATGAATCGCTGGGTGCTAAACTTTACCACGTCCGGTCTGCATCATGTGGGCAACGATGAGTTGATCATATTGCTGGAAATTAAGCCACCGCCAGCGGCTGCGAATAGCGGTCCGACGGTGCCGCGTGATATATTCCAGCATCTATACGAGATCTATGTGGAGGCAGAGCATGCCCGCTCCAGCACACATGAGCTGGCCTTCACCAGTCCGCGTAGTGCCAACTTTTTGGGCTCTCGAGAACATGGCGGCTTCATCTATATCCGGCCGACGTATCAGTGTTTGCAGGGCGTCATTGTGCCGGAGAGTCCGTATCTGGTGGCCGTGCTCATCCATCGGCACGAGGTGCCGTGGGCCAAGGTTTTGCCATTACGTCTTATCTTGCGCCTGGGCGCCCAATATCGTTACTATCCATGTCCGCTGATCTCGGTGCGGAATCGTGAGTCGGTCTATGGCGAGATAGCACAGACGATTATCAATTTTCTGGTGGACTTCCGCAACTATTCGTACTCACTGCCCGCCATACGCGGCCTCTACATCCACATGGAGGATCGGCAGACGACAGTGATTATACCGCGGTATAGGCAGAACGATGTCATCAAGGCGATCAACAATGCCACCGACCATATACTCGCATTCGCCGGCAACTTCTCTAAAGTGGCTGATGGACATTTGGTCTGCATGCAGAACATAAACGATGATCGCTCCGAGATGTATGCCTACTCCACGCAGGCAATCAATATACAAGGCCAGCCGAGAAAAGTGACGGGCGCCAGTTTCTTTGTCCTGAACGAGGCACTCAAAAGCAGCAGCGGTCTCTCCGGCAAGTGCAGCATTGTCGAGGATGGGCTGATGGTCCAAATAATGCCCGCCAAAATGGAGGAAGTTCGTCAGGCGCTGCGCAATCAAACAGACATTGACATCGTGTGCGGTCCCGTTGCGGCCACCGATGAGCAGAGTGAAATAGTCAGCATCAAGTGGGTCGACAATGATCGCGAAATCAATGTGGGGTAAGAATATGAAATAATTATTGACGCGAAACTGTTCTAATTCTTACTCTTAATGTATTTGGCAGCGTTAAGTCCCCCATAGATGAGAAGCCCATGGATGGTGTGGCCAATATGCGTGTGCACGCGAGCTTCAACTATTCCAATACCAATTACGCAATACGCTTGAGCGATATATTTATAGTCAAAGTAACTTAACGAACTTAAGGTGTCATTGCACATATTCGTAATAATTTTTGTATTTGAATTTCACAGTGTGAGGATTGGTATGCCACAAATGGCGGCAACTATGCAGACATCACACGCATTGCCGAGCAGCTGGCCAGAAGTGCTTCGATGGCGCTGCTGCCATTCCTCGATCTACTTGCCGCGGCGGGCATTAATAAGCTGGCACTGCGGGCCACACTAGATCAGGAGAACGTAAGCAGCAACTCTGGATCTACGCAAAAAGGTGTTAATTATTAAATTATGTTTTTCGTAGGTCTGCTATGAGGCGGGTGCACGTGGCTCTAAGCTGCCGCCGCTCTATATGAATGCGCTGGATAATCATCTGATAGCCACGCTGCATGGCGAGTCGTCTGGCATACAGGATCCCATTATATTGGAGCTAGTTTTCTACATACTAAACGCCTGAAACCTAAGAACTCCCCCTCGTTCGATTCTTAGTGCAATTGCTGATCCCTACACCTGAAATCCATCGAACACGATATAATACAAGCTGAATATACTTTCGTAAATTTCTAACCATGCCTAGCTACGTAAGCCTATAAAGTGATCACATGTGTTGACCCATCCAGTTAATCGTTAACGTATTCTCCCTCGGCTGCAAAGCGATGGCGCAGTTACTGTATATAATTAGTACATGATATATACGTATATATATATATATATATATATATATATATATATATGCATATATGTATACTATTGGTGTTTTGTTTGTTTTTATCTCATTTCTTGTGTACAACTTCTTCGCCTCTGTCTCTTAACAAGCCGACGCAAATATTTTTGTAATTTTCAATGTTTTATAAACAAAACAAAAACAGAAATTCGGTGTTGGCATTTGGCAGTCTTTTTACATTCAAAACGTTTTGTGTGGCAAAATCCTAAACCATTTTCGTGGACTTTGTCTGCGATAAATGGCAACCATATAGAAAAAAATAATATTAATATTTGTATATGATGTTCTCTTTATTATATCCCTGTATATTTTCGATTTGAATATAAATAATGACTATATAACTGTTAAAATCAATTGGTGTTTCATTCATTTGATAAACAAATTTTTGAAACAAAACTCAAACTTGTTAGAAATTGTAGGATTTTTGTAGGAATAACTTGAATTAGTCATTAATTGAAATTTGAATATGTTATAAAAAACAGAATCATTAAGCAACTACTAATTTTCGTAAGAAAACACAATTTTCATTATTAAATTATTGTGATAATTGTTTATTAAATTTAATGTTCCACTTTTGCGCATAATTTAAAAAAATGTTTGATTGGCAGACACAACGTACACAAATAAGTTACAAACTTTAATATAACAACCTATAAATGTATATAAAAAAGATATAACGCATATTCTACGCTTCAGTTTGCTGGGATTTAACATTATTTAAACTACGGCCTGGAAGGGCATTGAGCATTCGTCCAGTTGTGCGCAAAGGAAACCAAACCGGAGCACAGAATCGAAGTGGAAGAGTTGTTATAAAAATCGCTTAACATCCTATATTTATGCATATACTATATGTCTATGTATATGGTGTATATACAAATATGAATGATGTTGCCAAAAAATAATTTCATATATTTTTTCTTGAAGGGGGAAAACACTAAAAGCGCCCCTAAATTTGGGGGGAGTTTAAAGGGGCGTCAGTCCACTCGTTCCTTCATTGTTTTTCGAATATGTTGTTGATGTAGTTGTCTCTTCATGTGTCGCGCGTTGCTTTTCTTGATATTATTGTTTTTGTTGTTGTTGTATTTATACATAGATAGTTATAGATAGTTATAACTTAAGCACTTGTACTAGCCGCAGCCTTACAGCTCATCATGCTTGGGCCCGGAGAACTCGTCGTGCGAGATGAAACCGTTCTTGTCCTTATCCTCGTGCTGGAAAATCTCCTCGACCAGCTTGTCGTTCTCCTGCAGCATGTTCTTCAGCTCATCGGAGTCCTGACCCTCCACAGCTGTCATCTGTTTCTTCAGATATTCACTGACCTAAGCAGACACAAACAAGACAAGCCAACAAATTATAGCTAGTTATGAATATAGTCAACGTGACATTATGAAGAGTGAGGTTAGTAACGAACCGAGACCCACGGATATATCACATATAGAGTGTAGAACAAGTACAAAATGATAAAAGTGCGATCCATACATAGACGATTACCTCTTCGCGGCTCAGCTGCTTGTCGGCATTCTCATCAATCTCCTTGAACACATTCGTGGTGGGCGGGGCATTGCCAATGTTGATCAGCTCCACGTCGAAGACAAGTGTCGCCTTTGGCGGAATCACATTGCCGGCACCCTGATCGCCATAGCCCAGCTGTGGGGGAATTGTCAGCTTGCGTTTCTCGCCTAATTAAAGGATTAAACGACTATTTAGATTGACACTATATAGACTATTGTTTGTACTCTACTTACCCACACACATGTCCAGCAGACCCTGGTCCCAGCCCTTAATCACCTGTGCATGAAAATAATACATATTTTAGTATAAATAACATTCTTAAATATATTATTCAATGTTTTAAAATATTTTTAATTATTTTTTTTTATATATATATATATATATATTTTTGAGTATTTTGTATATATCCAAAATTTAAAAAATATATTTTATTATTTTTAAAAATATATTCGTCAATTACTTTTAATAGATTTTTCAGCATATTTACTAATATTAATATATTTTTATATATGTTATATTATATTAATATTTTTATTATTTTATTTGATTTAACTCAGTCAAAAAATTGATTCAATTTCGTGGCATTTTATGGAGGTGCCACAAAATTGTTGTGGCCATTCAAGTTGAAACGTTTAACTCACCTGTCCGGCGCCCAATTGGAATGTGAAGGGCTGGTCGCGGTCAAAGCTGCAAGAGTGAAGCAATAAGAGAAGTTGAGTGTGAGATGAGCAGCGCCAGAGTCGCAGGCAAATTGTTAGACGCTTGTTAGTCGCAAAGTTTCAAGTGCAACGTGTTTTTTTTTTCTGACTGAAAAGGTGTAGCGACAGGGGAGTACACACACACACTCGCACACACAACACATTTATCACACACACACACACAGCCACTGTCAACTGGCTGCAGTTCGCACATAATCAAGAGGCATGCCACATAAAAAAGAAGCACATTTTGAAACAATACATCATTTTTTATGTCCGCTTGCTGTTTTTTAGGGAAGTGGCTTGAGTTGGGTGTTGGGTGTTGGGGGTTGTAAAATGCGGTAAACATACGCGAAATTATTTGTTTGATGGCCTGGTTTACAGCAATGCTTAACTTAAGCGAATTACTTTAATTTGTAACGGTACTGAGGGGTGCTAGAGCTACGACAATACTGAGGAATATATACTCTGTCCAACTCTTATCATAATCAGCTGTTCAGGTATGCATGAAACCCCGCCTCCTCTCTCTCTCTATCTGTCTCTGTTGTTGTGTATATATATAGAACTTGAGCATGATGTATGATGTGGCACAGTTGCAATAAGAGAGGCGTATAATTTGATGCTTATTATGTGCTTTACGAGTGGGTGGAGCAATATGAATGGGCTTTTAAAGTAGAACATTAAAAGAAGAGATGTAAAATGAGAAAGAATATGGAATATGTGAAGAAGGAATTTGATGATGGTGTGAAGTTTAGCAAGCAACTTTAAATATGGAAAGGAATATAATATAGCAAAGAGTATAAAAGGATAGTCAGAGCTATACAGATAAGGATAAGAATAGTATAAAACTATAAATCTATAAATGCAAAATATAAATACTTAAATAGAAATAATTAAAAAAAAAATAAAACAAACGATGCAGATTTGAAAGGCTAATAAGGTTTCTCCTGAATATAAGGCAAAAAGAGTTTCTTAGTAAGTTGATATGTCATATTTTATTTTATTAATTTTAAGAGAAACTATTTGTATTCAAAGCATAATATTATTTATAATATTAACGCAATTTTTGATAATTTTTTACAACAAATTCAACAGAAAAAGCTTTAGGTAATTATCATGTTGCATATCATATATCTATGTTGAGATAGTGCTAAAGATAAAGCAGTCTGATATTGATATGGTTTTGTACATATATAAAGACCTTGATATATGATAATATTGTAAGATATAACCAGAATATGCGCAGGCACTGCTTAAGATATATCTAGAAATCTAGAAATGAGCGACTGCGCTCTAAGATTGATGGGGTAGATGCCTTAGAAACAGACAGATAGATGGACAAACACGACTATACAGCAGCTCTTGGCTATTTAACAGACATAGTTCCTTAACGTATAGAAATTCAGGGAATTCCTATATAAGAATAGGTGTAATGCATTTATGAACTTTACCTAATAAAATGCAGAAAGTTCGCTTTTAATAAAAGTGCTGAGATATCAGCTGAAATACGCAGCTTATATCGCTTTAGCTCATATATCTGGTGCTTCGGGACGCATCAAGTATCCCTTAAGATACTCAGAGAAGAGTAGCATAGCTCACTATAGCTCATTGAACAGTTCATCGTGAAGTGTTGTCACTCAAGCAGCGAAGTTTAGCACAGATCGCTGTTCTGATTCAGAACCTTGAGTACACATCTAAAAATACAATCTATAGTATATATATAGTAAACAAATTTTGTTGTTAGCATATGGCCAAGAAATTCAACTTTGATTTTGTAGAGCGTGTAAGTCAATAATAAACGGCTCCCCACTCTAGACTGGCGATGCCCCTTGGGCTAAGAACTTGCAATTGGAAATGTGTCACTTGGGCATGCGGAAGAAAACTTTCAGGATTGCTGTTGTTGTTTGTTTTTTGAAAAACTTTGCGACTTTTGGCTGTTGTTAAGAACTTGTTACCCCAGACTGCATAGCCGCTCTCCCTCCCTGCTCATATCCCCAGTTGACGATCATTTTTTAATGAGCCAAAGAGCTGCAGCAGTCAGGCTTTAACAGATTATTGCAACAGGCACAACAAATGATTAACAAGGCACACACACACCCATTGCGCGAGTTGACAAAAGTTAGCTACAAGTTCTATTGCCCCTTGCTGCCTGCCTCTGCAACCTCCACTTCTACTGCTGCTGTTTTTTGCGGCGTCTGTTAAATATTTTATGTGCATCTCCTGGGCATTTTGCAAACATTTTTACATTTTTTACATGTTTCGCGTTGTTTGTTTGTTTTATTTACATTGCTGTTGTCTTGGAATCACAAGTTGTGCCGGCTCATGATGATGGCATGCGGATTGGCGCTGCCCGCGGAATAATCCAACCAACCGAAAAAGTGCTACCTCAAGTGCTGCAAGGAGTTGGAGCGTAACCAAAGTGTCGTCGTTCTCCGCCTGCGGCTTTCGCCCACCCTCCCCTCGCCCCGTCTAACCACGCCTGCTCAAGTGCGGCAAATCTCTTGATGAAATAAAAAACCGTACGAAATTTGTCTGGCAAAAAAAAAATAAAGTGTAGCAAAGCAAATGCTAAATCACAGCATGACCGACAGCGCAATACTCTAGCGATATGAGCTATGAGTTCAAAATAAAGATCCTTAAAAAATATCTAATAAATAGTATTATATTATAAACTAATTTCTTCGTACTAATAGCTGATACATCATAATATAATTTCTTGCCTATTTCTGAAGACTTGCATAGAGCATAAAGTAAACTTTTCTAAAAATATATAAAGAATCTTATAAAGACAGTTTTGAAGATTGTTAATATTGATTTTTAAAATATTTTCAACACTTTTATAAAGCATTTGCAATTACTTTTCATAATTACGAGTCAAATTATAGCAGTTATAAATTTTCGTGTAGACAAGACTTTCAACTATTCTAATTTACAAAGATTTTAATGCAAATAATTTATAAATATATAAATTTTTATATATTTACCTAACTATATCAACTATATTGCACACATTGCATTTCAATTTCAGTATACTCTCTTGGCAAGTGTATAAAAAGGAAAGCAAATGTCAAGCTGTAATACACACAACAAGCCGGGCACTTCATGTGCATGTGTGTGCGTGTGTGTGTGTGTGGGGATTATGGCCTTTAAGACACAGTCACAACCCCACAACCAGTTGTAGCAGCGAGTCGACGCTTGGCTGTGAATTTTTATTGCATTATTTTCCATGAATTTCTAGTAATATGTGAACATTTTATAGCAGCTCACATGTGTCTCTGTGTCTGTCTCTTGCTCTCACTGACTCGGCACGCACAGGTGATTGGGGAGATTGTGTAAAATTGCTGGCAGTTGGGTAGTGGGTGCTGCTGCTGCTGCATATCCTGCTAATTTATGCGATTTACAGCAATAAATGTTACGAAAATAAAGCCGCGTAGCCCTATTTATGCCGTTGATCAATGTTAATTGTTATGCAAGGAGAAAGTGAGCGAGACTGAGGCAAATAAAATCGGTTTGATAATAATAATAGACAGAGTTGAGCCTAAGAGGTTTGTAGGAGATGAAACCCAAGCTCTATTTGCAGCTTTTCCTTTGCTATGAAATATACCTTCAGATCAGAAGAAGAAGCAATCAGCAGAAGCAATGCTTACTTAAACAAAAATCTAATTTTTATATAGATTCTATATCTATCAAACTCAGCTTTTAGCTGGTTTTTCATATAGTTTTTCATTTCACAACCCAATGCCGCGCTTTAAACAGGTCCCAACAGGTCTACGTTTTCACAAATCATTAGGCTTCAATTAAAGCATTTAAGAGGAGCGCGCAATGCGTTGAATAAATTAATAAAATCGCTTAAATGTGTTGATTGTTTCAGTCAACTATATATATATATATATATGTGCTCAGATCCGTAGCTGTATCCGTCGCCAGCTCACCCTGCACAGTGTCCCCGGGCATGCAAAATTGATGAGGCGCCATGGCTGATGCAATGCCCAAACAAAAGGTCAGCGCAGCAGGAGCTGTTGGCACAGGTGTCCACTTTTGTTGTTGTTGTTGTTTTTCATTTAATAAACTGGCCAAACAGGCGCTTCAAAGAACTGAAAAGTTGTGCAACAAATGTTACGCAAAAGCTGACGCGTTTCACAGGCGTTTCGCAGGCGTTTTGCTAGCGTTTTCTGCGTGAGTTGCGGCGAGCATTATCATAAAGTCAAACAAGAAATGTAAACTCATTTTTTGTTGGCTGACTGGCTGGCTGGCTGGCTGGCTGGCTGACTGGCTGGTTGGTAGCAGGAATCACTTAAATATTTAATAAGTTTCGATTTCATTCAGCTCGGAGGCAATGCCATTGGAATTTTTATGCATTCGAGGGCATTTAAAATGCAGCTCAATGGGCGCAAAAAAAACACACACACACAGCAAAGTGAAGGCAACACATCCGTTAACCGTAACCATTACGTGATTCCCAATCCGATAGAGAGTCGAGTTAAGTGAAGAGTTTGGTTTGGGTTTGTCTGCTAAATCATACCACGCCACTTGCCGCACTCCCCACATCACAGACAATCCAATCAAATTGAATCCTTTGCTGGGCCGGCATTCATTGATGACCTCGTTTTATGTGCGTCGTTGTCCGAAGTTATAAAATCAAATATGCGTCCGCCTCAGCACAAATAAAACGAAGAGACGCAGCAGCCGAAGCTAGCCACAAAACCTCAACGGAGACTTTGAAGCGACAAACAAGAAGAAATGCCCCAGCGATTAACGTGCAACACGGCGGCAGTTGTCAGTCTTGTTCTTGACTCGACTTCTGGGCTTTCGGTCAATGTGCGAACAATTCGCAGCTGGTGAAGTTTTGTGCCGCAAATTTATGCGCCTGCTGCCACCCAAGCAGTCCAAGCAGCCCATACAGCATCACGTGCCATCTATGCGAATTGTTGCAGCCTTTCTTTCTTCCACTCAAAATGAAGAAATTTATATGTGCAACTTGTGCATATA